AAACACCTAGACATCTCCCTACACACTGGGCAGACCACTCCATAAGAGCCCTCTGTTGCCACGCAATGGTAGGATCATGGGCGCTTAACCAGGGAAGCCCCAGCACCACGGGATACGCAGGAGAGTCGATCAGATAAAACTGAATGATCTCCTCATGACCCCCCTGCGTCGTCATCTTAAGTGGTGCTGTGACTTCTCTGATCAACCCCGACCCCAGCGGCCGGCTGTCTAGGGCATGAACAGGAAAGGGGGCTTCTACCGGCCGAAGGGGAATTCCTAACCTATAACAAAATTCACGATCAACAAAGTTCCCAGCTGCGCCTGAATCTACTAGCGCCTTATGCTGGGAATGAGGTGCCACCTGTGGAAATCTCACAGGTATACACAAGTGACCAACAGAGAGCTCTGGGTAAGTGGGGCGCCTACTCACCTGAAATGACTCCCCAGTGCGTGACCTGTTGTCCCCTCTCCCAGGAGACCCTCCCCAGCACCTAGCCGCAGTGTGTCCTCCACGGCCACAGTTGGTGCAGGGGACGGCCCCCCTCGGGTTCTCTCTCCTCCTCTCCCTAGTGCCAGTACCCCCGAGCTCCATGGGAACCGGCTCGGAGGTGCTGGAGGGTGGAATGGACGACCCCCACTCGGGACGTCCGCGGGTAGCCAGCAGGGTGTCGAGACAGATGGAAATGTCCACCAACTGGTCGAAGGATAGGTTGGTGTCCCTGCAGGCCAGCTCACGACGAACGTCCTCTCGTAGGCTACACCGGTAATGGTCGATGAGGGCCCTCTCATTCCACCCCGCATCCGCCGCTAGAGTCCGGAACTCCAGGGCGAACTCCTGTGTACTCCTCTTCCCCTGTCGGAGGTGGAACAGACGCTCCCCCGCCGCCTTCCCCTCAGGTGGATGATCGAACACAGCCCTGAAGCGGCGGGAGAACTCCGCGCAGGTGATGGTGGCGGCGTCTATTCCCCTCCATTCGGCGTTGGCCCACTCCAACGCCTTGCCGGATAGACAGGAGATGAGGGCGGAGACGCTCTCGTATCCCGAGGGCGCCGGGTGTATGGTGGCCAGGTAGAGTTCCACCTGCAGGAGGAACCCCTGACACCCGGCTGCAGAACCATCATATGCCCTCGGGAGCGAGAGCCGAATGCCACTGGGTTCCGGTGCTGGGAGAGGAGGACTGGCCGATGGTGATGGTAAGGTGTGCGAAGGCGTGGGCACCTCTCCCGTAATCAATCGGCGCAGAGTGTTGGACACCTCGTTCATGGCGGCCCCAAGTTGCCGGATCATGGTGTCTTGGTCGCTGATCCGATCCTCCAGCGACTTGGGTGCCGCCGCTGCTCCTGCTGACTCCATAGAGTGGTGTGTTGTTCTGTCAAAAGCTGAGGTTAATGTGGTGCGGGAGTCAGGCGCAGGACACCGAAGCTTAGTCCAACAAAGTTTACTAGTGCAAACCCAAGCACAATACAATGAACGGCCTCAACAATAAACAGAGGCGAGCGATTACGCAGACTGTGCGTAAACTATAAAACAATAAACAGAGAAAACACGCAGCACTAACAGACAGGCGAATAACAACACACAAACTAACCAACACCAAACAGGCAACTTATAGGACACATAATTAGACACAAACGGACACAGGTGCAACAGACAGACAAAAGCAATCAAACATCGAAACATTCAACGGTGGCAGCTAGTACTCCGGGGACGACGAACGCCGAAGCCTGCCCGAACAAGGAGGAGGAGCAGCCTCGGCAGAATCCGTGACAATCTCCACTGATATGGGTTAGGGCAGCCTTCAGGTATGCAGCCACACATAGATCTAATACACTCATTATGGAATGATGATGTAAGGGTTGAAGTAAGTAGCTGCCCATTAAAAGCTTAATTCCTCTTGAGAAATCAGCATATTTGATTTGTACATTGTTGTCTACTGCTCATTTCCATAGGTGAATTATCATTCAGATCCTGTGTGTCTATAATTCAACGGTCCCTTGTCTTCATAGCATAGAGTGCAGTGTATTTCAAAAGATCAGTCACGGCAGGTAGCTTAGCAGTTAGCGCCTTGGGGCAGCAATCAAAAGGTCGCTGGTTTGAATATCAGAGCCGAAAAGGTTAGAAATCTGTCGTTGTGTCGTTGAGCAAGGCACGTAACCCAAATGTTCTATGGGGTGCCGTACTACTATGGCTGACCTTGTAAAACAACACATTTTACTGCACCTATCTGGTGTATTTGACAATAAAACATATTTTTTGGGCTGTAATTTCAGTCAGTGAATCATAGAAAATAGCTAATTCCACTGTTGTGTATACACATTAGAGACTGGACACTGGACGTTTAGTGTTTATCATTTAATGAGAAACATGAAATGGGAAAATGAGTGTGTGTCCATCACGAAAGCGTCTTAGTCATTGTATGTGTGATGAATATTCAGTCAATTCCACCATTATTCCAGCTCAATTATTGGCCTCCTGGTGAGGATCATGACAAAACCAATTTACAGTGGACTGGGTTATTATCAGAGCATTAACACTTACTACATGCTCAAAATAAACGAGGACAATGTGAATTATTGAGACAGTAGATAGAATGTATGTGTTTCTTTTAACCACACTTATTTGGGGTATTTTTTACCCAAGCAAATTACATTTATACATGACAAAGGTGTTTCTGATGGTCAGATTTGTACTTGTAATTATTATGGATCCCAATTAGCTGCTGTCAAGGCAGCAGCTACTCTTCCTGTGGTCCAGCAAAATTAAGGCAGTTATACATTTTAAAAACATTACAATACATTCATAACAGATTTCACAACATATTAAGTATGTGCCCTCAGGCCTCTACTCTACTACCACATATCTATAACACAAAATCAATTTGTACGTGTGTGTATAGTGCGTATGTTATTGTGTGTTTGTATGTGTCTATGGTTGTGTTGCTTCACAGTCCCCGCTGTTCCATAAGGTGTATTTTTATCTGTTTTTTAAACCTAATTTTACTGCTGGCATGAGTTACTTGATGTGGAATAGAGTTCCATGTAGCAATGGCTCTATGTAGTACTGTGCGCCTCCCATAGTCTGTTCTTGACTTGGGGACTGTGAAGAGACCTCTGGTGGCATGTCTTGTGGGGTATGCATGGGTGTCCGACAGTTCAAACAGACAGCTCGGTGCTTCAACATGTCAATACCTCTCACAAATATTTACATTTACATTTACGTCATTTAGCAGACGCTCTTATCCAGAGTGACATACAAATTGAGTAGTGATGAAGTCAATCTCTCCTCCACTTTGAGCCAGGAGAGATTGACATGCATATTATTAATGTTAGCTCTCTGCGTACATCCAAGGGCCAGCCGTGCTGCCCTGTTCTGAGCCAATTGCAATTTTCCTAAGTCCCTCTTTGTGGCACCTGACCACACGACTGAACAGTAGTCCAGGTGTGACAAAACTAGGGCCTGTAGGACCTGCCTTGTTGATAGTGCTGTTAAGAATGCAGAGCAGTGCATTATTATAGACAGACTTCTCCCCACCCTTGCTACTATTGCATCAATATGTTTTGACGATGACAGTTTACAATCCAGGGTTACTCCAAGCAATTTGGTCTCCACAACTTGCTCAATTTCCACATTATTCATTACAAGATTTAGTTGATGCTTATAGTTTTTGAAATATTTAGGACTAACATTCCTTGCCACCCATTCTGAAACTAAGCGCAGCTCTTTGTTAAGTGTTGCTGTCATTTCAGTCGCTGTGGTAGCTGACGTGTATAGTGTTGAGTCATCCACATACATAGACACACTGGCTTTCCTCAAAGCCAGTGGCATGTCATTAGTAAAGATTGAAACAAGTAAGGGGCCTAGACAGCTGCCCTAGGGAATTCCTGATTCTACCTGGATTTTGTTGGAGAGGCTTCCATTAAAGAACACCCTCTGTGTTCTGTTAGACAGGTAACTCTTTATCCACAATATAGCAGGGGGTGTAAAGCCATAACACATTCGTTTTTCCAGCAACATACTATGATCGATAATGTCAAAAGCTGCACTGAAGTATAACAAAACAGCTCCGACAATCTTTTTTATCATCAATTTCTCTCAGCCAATCTTTACTATTCTTAGGTAGGGGAATAACTTTTGCTTCCCTCCAGGCCTGAGGGCACACACTTTCTAGTAGGCTTAAATTGAACATATGGCAAATAGCAGTGGCACTATCGTCCGCTATTATCATCAGTAATGTTCCATCCAAGTTGTCAGACCCCGGTGGTTTGTCATTGTTAATAGACAATAATAATTGTTTCACCTCTTCCACACTTACTTTACGGAATTCACAAAATTACAATGCTTGTCTTTCATAATTTGGTCAGATATACTTGGATATGTAGTGTTGCTGGCATGTCATGTAAGTTTGCTAATGTAATGCATAGACAGAGTATAGGCTAAGGTATGGGTTGGGACTGAGTTAATGCAAAGGGTATATGAAGGTGAATAAGGCGCACCAAACCTACGTCTATGCACCAAACAAACATCCCAGTAGTGCACATTGGTTGCGTGATGGACCGGATTTCCCGAGTTAAGTCTCTCCATCCACTTGTCGCAACTCTTCCACCGAATAGGGCAGGGCGCGAGTGACGCACGCAGTCAGTGAGTTTATAACCCCACACAGATGTTGATTCAGGGATGAGAGAACCCTTTGCATCATTCAAAATATAGTTTTTTTATTTAACCTTTATTTTATCAAGGAATCATACTGAGACCAAGGTCTCTTTTACAGATGAACCCTGATATTTAAAGATTTAGTTTCAGATTGGCAGCTTTTTATGATGGCTATTAGGCTATGTTTAATTGGTTTTGGGAACACAATACAATTATGAGTCACAACATTTCATTTAATAGCAAGCCATCCCAAAGGCAACTTTAAAAATATATTTTTTACAAACTTTCTAGAAAAAAGACACCAACTATGTCTTTGGATGACTCATTCGTTTTAAACCCTGAGAACATTATGTTTAACGTATCGCAGGTGTCCAGTGTCAACAGAGAGGTCCAGGAGCACTACATTTGGCTGCCCGGTATTGCTATCGCCACCGTCTACGGATTTCTAATCATTGTTGGACTTATTGGTAACGTCACGCTAATGAGGACATTTATCACTGTTAAATCCATGCGGACGGTGCCTAACCTGTTCATGTCCAGCCTCGCGCTCGGCGACCTGCTGCTGCTAGTCACGTGCGCTCCGGTGGACGCCAGCCGGTACCTCGCGGACAAATGGCTCTTCGGCCGGGTGGGATGCAAACTCATCCCGTTCATCCAACTCACCTCCGTCGGGGTCTCCGTTTTCACACTCACTGCCCTCTCTGCAGATAGGTAAGGGTTTTATCATCGAATGTGTTGTTTTCTCAATCACTCTGACGGGAAGTTAAATTAACCTTTTCAAGTAAAAATAAAAAGAACAGCCTACATTCAAGTTTTCAAACCATTCTTTGACATTGTAATAATAATACTACATTGTAGTATGAACAGGCAGGCATGGTAGCACGAACAGGCAAGTCGTGTAATTAGGCAACACATTATTACACTAGCCTACAAGTTCAGCCTGGTTGCAGATGTTGTTCACTGCAGATAAACTCACAGAATAGAGTGAACTGTTGGGGTTTAGCTCACATACTATAAAGAGGGATCTTGTTTATGCATGACATGTTCATTCTGTGTAGGCCTAATGTAATTCAAGTCCAATCGTTTATGTTGTTCTATTCATCAATTCACTCCTCAAAACTCTGTTATCCTAACATTTAAAGTCAACAGAAATAAATAGATGTGGCACCCCTTGTGGCATTTGTGGCGCCACTCAAGAAATAACGGCAGAAATTCTCCTTAAATGGCCACTTTTGGCCCATGGGCCTTCAATCACTTGTCAGGACACACAGAGACCTTGTCAGGAAAACACAGAGACACGTGTTGATAATGGCTTTAGAATTGCCCTCATGATGCAAAGAAAACTGTTGCCTTTAACAGTAGACCAACGGGCCGATTCCGACCCGAGTTAGGCGTGCATAAATGGAACTTAATTCCTTTTTTATGCACTTTTCTCTCTATGCTTATTCCGACCTTTAACTTAAGCACGGGGTGGCAGGTAGAGGCAGGTAGCGGAGCGGTTAAGAGCGTTGGGCCAGTAACCGAATGGTTGCTGGTTTGAAAAAGCATCTACTTTATTTTGTCCGGTAGAAATCACACCATTCTCCATGCACTGTAATTTCCAGGGATGGGCACTCCCAACTTTCTCTGTTTCCTATTTCTATCATGTTAAATATGATCCACTATCAGTATCCACCTTCAGTAGGCCTAATAAGCCACACATATTACACTGCCAATTTACTGTTAGTTCCCTTCAGTTGGTATAGCCTACATTATCATTCCATTTAATTACATTGTTTCATTTACCTTAATTTGCTTCCTCTGTAAACGCCATCAAGTCTGTGTGGTTGTTGCTGAGGATTATTAGTAACAGTTGATCATATTTTAAAAAGACATGTAGGCTAATTAAATCGTTATGGAGCCCAGACCAAGCAGTAACGGTTTGAATCTGACGCATGGAGCAAAACTTGGCCATGTAATCAAACAATTCCATGGTCAGTGCAGGCAATCCACCAGGGTATAGTATTGTACGCTATTCTCCCTATTATAATTCTATGTACACTAATCTTCCAATATTACCATGGGTTGAAGAATGTGGCAATTTTCAGAATGAATCAAACCACCGTTTTCTTTCTTTCTTGTGTAAAAGCTCTCCAAACCTGTTTTTTAAATATACACTTTTCTAAACCTAAATAATCTACAAGATCAGAGTATTTTTAAATCTACCAATTGGTGCTGAAATGAAGATGAATATGCGTATATTTACATGTCTTTCTTTCATTGATCCTTAATATTCGGAACCCGTTCTCTCGATATATTGTAGTCTGTCGACAAAATTCTAACTAAAAGGTACACCGTATTTAAAGGGAAGGCTTAAGATACTGTACATATACTAACAACCCTATTGAATGAAAAGTCCACGAGAAAATATGTTAGCCAGCAAGTGGAAGGGTTTTCAGTGGTTGAATTATATTTATTCCGATAGCTACACCTGCAGAGCGCTTTACACGACTGAATAAGGTAAGTCTGAATACCAAATACTGAAAAGTGCGTAGGAAAGGCGTGCATAAGAATGGCATAAATTCCTAAGTCTGTGGTCCTCTGTAGCTCAGCTGGAAGAGCACGGCGCTTGTAACGCCAGGGTAGTGGGTTCGATCCCCGGCACCACCCATACACAAAAATGTTTGCACGCATGCCTGTAAGTCGCTTTGGATAAAAGCGTCTGCTAAATGGCATATTATTATTATGAATCGGCCCCTACATGTGTTTGACTGCTCAGCAGCCTCCTGAGCTGTGCTCTGTTCTGTTCTATTATTCTATTCCACTATGTTCTCATCTCTGTTCTTGCCCTGCAGAGTTCTTTCTCCATCAAAGTTCTTTCATCATTTGAACCTGGAATTCAAAAGGTTCTAAGAAGGCAATTAGTCAGAGCTGAAAGAGAGAGTGAATGTTCCTTTAGGGAGGTGAAGACAGGCAGACTGGCCTATCTAGGTTAATTAGCAACCATAGAGCTGTCCAATCACTGTCTTCATTTCTTATAGGCCCAGACGACCTACTCAATACGGTACACATTAAAACTGACCCATTAACACCCTATCTGTCACTGCAGTTCCCTGCCTGCCCATGCTTTTAAAAACATCAGACTGTCAGGGAAATATCAATAATGTACCCAATCTAGCCAAATAAATAGCTATTACTTTTACATTCCTCACCCGTCACCCGTTATTACAGTTGAATATATATATATATATATATATATATATATATATATATATATATATATATATATATATATATATGTATATATATTGTTGTATTAACAAAAGTTATTTTAATTATTTGCAGAACTTTGATGCCATATAATCAATAATCAACCAGAGGAAAAAAAAAACTCTAGACCACCTTTACTCCACACACAGAGACGCATACAAAGCTCTCCCTCGCCCTCCATTTGGCAAATCTGACCATAACTCTATCCTCCTGATTCCTGCTTATAAGCAAAATCTAAAGCAGGAAGCACCAGTGACTCGGTTAATAAAAAGTGGTCAGATGACGCAGATGCTAAGTTACAGGACTGTTTTGCTAGCACAGACTGGAACATGTTCCGGGATTCTTCAGATAGCATTGAGGAGTACACCACATCAGTCACTGGCTTCATCAATAAGTGCATAGATGATGTCGTCCCCTCAGTGACCGTACGTACATACCCCAACCAGAAGCCATGGATTACAGGAAACATCCGCACTGAGCTAAAGGATAGAGCTGCCGCTTTCAAGGAGCGGGACTCTAACCCGGACGCTTATAAGAAATCCCGCTATGCCCTCCGACGAACCATCAAACAGGCAAAGAGTCAATACAGGACTAAGATTGAATCGTACTACACTGGCTCTGACGCTCGTCGGATGTGGCAGGGCTTGAAAACTATTACAGACTACAAAGGGAAGCACAGCCGCGAGCTGCCCAGTGACACAAGCCTACCAGACGAGCTAAACCACTTCTATGCTCGCTTTGAGGCAAGCAACACTGAAGCATGCATGAGAGCACCAGCTGTTCCGGATGACTATGTGATCACGCTCTCCGTAGCCGATGTGAGTAAGACTTTTAAGCAGGTCAACATTCACAAGGCCGCAGGGCCAGACGGATTACCAGGACGTGTACTCCGAGCATGTGCTGACCAACTGGCAAGTGTCTTCACTGACATTTTCAACATGTCCCTGACTGAGTCTGTAATACCAACATGTTTCAAGCAGACCACCATAGTCCCCGTGCCCAAGGACTCTAAGATAACCTGCCTAAATGACTACCGACCCGTAGCACTGACGTCTGTAGCCATGAAGTGCTTTATAATAATATAATATGCCATTTAGCAGACGCTTTTATCCAAAGCGACTTACAGTCATGCATGCATACATTTATTTGTGTATAGGTGGTCCCGGGGATCGAACCCACTACCTTGGCGTTACAAGCGCCGTGCTCTACCAGCTGAGCTACAGAGGACCACAAAGGCTGGTCATGGCTCACATCAACAGCATTATCCCAGAAACCCTAGACCCACTCCAATTTGCATACCGCCCCAACAGATCCACAGATGATGCAATCTCTATTGCACTCCACACTGCCCTTTCCCACCTGGACAAGAGGAACACCTACGTGAGAATGCTATTCATTGACTATAGCTCAGCATTCAACACCATAGTGCCCTCAAAGCTCATCACTAAGCTAAGGATCCTGGGACTAAACACCTCCCTCTGCAACTGGATCCTGGACTTCCTGACGGGCCGCCCCCAGGTGGTAAGGGTAGGTAACAACACATCTGCCACACTGATCCTCAACACGGGGGCCCCTCAGGGGTGCGTGCTCAGTCCCCTCCTGTACTCCCTGTTCACCCATGACTGCATGGCCAGGCACGACTCCAACACCATCATTAGGTTTGCCGACGACACAACAGTGGTAGGCCTGATCACCGACAACGATGAGACAGCCTATAGGGAGGAGGTCAGAGACCTGGCCGTGTGGTGCCAGGACAACAACCTCTCCCTCAACGTGACCAAGACAAAGGAGATGATTGTGGACTACAGGAAAAAAAAGAGGACTGAGCACGCCCCCATTCTCATCGACGGGGCTGTAGTGGAACAGGTTGAGAGCTTCAAGTTCCTTGGTGTCCACATCACCAACGAACTATCATGGTCCAAACACACCAAGACAGTCGTGAAGAGGGCACGACAAAGCCTATTCCCCCTCAGGAGACTGAAAAGATTTGGCATGGGTCCTCAGATCCTCAAAAAATTATACAGCTGCACCATCGAGAGCATCCTGACTGGTTGCATCACCGCCTGGTATGGCAACTGCGTACGGCCCAGTACATCACTGGGGGCCAAGCTTCCTGCCATCCAGGACCTCTATACCAGGCGGTGTCAGAGGAAGGCCCTCAAAATTGTCAAAGACTCCAGCCACCCTAGTCATAGACTGTTCTCTCTGCTACCGCATGGCAAGCAGTACCGGAGTGCCAAGTCTAGGTCCAAAAGACTTCTCAACAGCTTCTACCCCCAAGCCATAAGACTCCTGAACAGCTAATCATGGCTACCCAGACTATTTGCACTGCCCCCCCACCCCATCCTTTTACGCTGCTGCTACTCTGTTAATTATTTATGCATAGTCACTTTAACTCTACCCACATGTACATATTACTTCAACTACCTCAACTAGCCGGTGCCCCCACACATTGACTCCGCACCGGTACCCCCCTGTATATATAGCCTCCCTACTGTTATTTTATTTTACTTCTGCTCTTTTTTTTCTCAACACTTTTTTTGTTGTTGTTTTATTTTTACTTTTTTGTTAAAAATAAATGCACTGTTGGTTAAGGGCTGTAAGTAAGCATTTCACTGTAATGTCTGCACCTGTTGTATTCGGCGCATGTGGCCAATACAATTTGATTTGATTTGATTTGATTTGATCAATGGATTTTGATTCAGGAAATCCATGTTTTATTATGAGAGTTGTTCGTTTCTATACATTCATTACCAAATGCCATTCTAGCACTCTTTGATGGTCCTGAAGTACCTTTATGTATGCTGCGTCCATATTCTCTCATTATAGATATGATCAGACTCAATTAACCAACACCAGCTGCTTTTCATTGAGTTCTCTGGTTCTTTTAATCCTGATCCATGTGAGCCAATTGTTTCTTTAATGATAAAGGATCTGGGGGAGGGGGGCTTTAGGCTAGAAACAAGAGGTAAAATGCCAGAGGAAGACGCGACTCTGATGCACATGGGAATTAATATTTTTGGTTTGTCTCTATGAGATTCAGAAGCTAAGCTATGACCTTCTGAAGTCGAGGAGTCAAAGAAATTGGACTTTGCTTGGCAAGTAATTTTATATTTTTTAGTCGTTTTTAGCAGATCTTATACAATGTGTGGCTCTGTCACTATCAATTGATCTATTCACTTTCTGTAAAAGAGAATATGTATAATTAAATTGAGGGTTCATATACATTATCATAATAAAACATATTTGGTAACGGAGTAACATTTGGGAAATCGGTTCTAGACTTTATTTTCCTTATCCATTATTATTATTATTATTATTATTACATAGCCTATCTATTTTCAACCCTTGTGCTAAATGACTAAGAAACTGCTAAATGTAATAAAATGAGTTTTCTGCTCGTCCCAGGTACAAGGCCATTGTCAAACCCATGGACATCCAGAAGTCCACAGCTAAGTTCTGCTTCCGAGCAGCAGCCATATGGCTCTTCTCCATGACCCTGGCCGTTCCTGAGGTGGTCTTCTCCGACCTTCACACCTTCAACATCGGCCAGACCAACGACACCTTTGTGACATGCGCTCCCTACCCCCACGCCGGGGAACTGCACCCTAAGATCCACTCCATGGCCTTCTTCCTCATCTTCTACATCATCCCCCTCCTCATCATCTCTGTGTACTACTGCTTCATCGCACGCAGCCTGATCCAGAGCGCCTCAGACATGCCCGTGGAGGCACACTTACACATCAAGAAACAGGTGTGTGAATGTGTGTCTGGACACTGGATGTTTAGGTGTTTATCATTTAATGAGACATGGGAAATAGTAAAATGGGAAAATTAGAAATGTGTGTATGCGTTTGTGTGTGTGTCCAGTCCTTCTGAATACATAAACTCATTGATGCTTTCTCTACCATTCCCACAGATTGAGTCTAGGAAGCGTCTGGCTAAGACAGTGCTGGTGTTTGTCGGTCTGTTCGCTGTGTGCTGGCTCCCCAGTCATGTGATCTACCTGTACCGCTCCTACCACTACGGCCAGGTGGACACGTCCCTGGGACACTTCATCGCCAGCGTGTGTGCCCGCGTCCTGGCCTTTACCAACTCCTGCGTCAACCCCTTTGCCCTCTACCTGCTCAGCAACAGCTTCCACAAGCAGTTCAACAAGCAGCTCCGCTGCCGCCGCCGTCCACCAATCAGCTGTAACGCTCAGGGCACGGGGCGGAGCAACAATCAGTCTCTGGCTAACTTCAGCCTCGTCAATGGGGCTCATGTTAGTCAGGAAGGCTGTGTGTAGTGACTGTGCTAAATATGATGCTTTAGACTTGTGAAAGTGACATTCCAAAACTGACATACTGCTACCCAATCAAATCACAGAATAATATATGGCTGTAACCCATGTAGTAGGACTGTGTTCTAACTCCTAGTGTTGATATTGTAGCACCATACTTCATTCGAATTAAATGGTTGATATGCTGGGCTACAGTATATGCATCCCATGATCCATGATTGATACATAGTGTTTTATTTTAAGCAGGGGTTGGAAAGAGTACTGAAATATCCTACTTAATTAGAAGTACTGTTACTTTAATGACATTTTATTCAAGTAGAAGTACATTTACTGGTGTAAAAAAAAAGTACTCAGAAAAAGACAATTGAGTAAAGAAAAAATACAAGTAGTACAAGTACTCAAAAAAGCTACTTCATTACAGTAATGGGAGTAGTTGTAATTAGTTACTTTACACCTCTGATTTTAAGTTTAGAATGTATCATCTAAACAGCTGCTGCTACGTATGTAAACCAATGTGGCAGAATAATCTCGAAGTTACAGATCACTGGTCTCAGTCCTCCGGAGATGCAGTTCTGTTCTGGTTTCTCATTGGAACTGTATTGATCCATTAGAGAAGTTGTTAGAAAAGATGACAACCCAGCCAGGTGTGAATAAGATGCTGATGACAAGGTAATGATGAGAGGAACAGACACCTATGGATGTTACTGGAGCTGTTGGGGACTGGAGCTGTGCCGACTGCCAATGTGTACACACTTCTATGCCCAAAGGAAAGTTCTGTAGGGATATCTCCAGCTGACTAAAACACCAACAACTTCAGTGCTTTGAAAGATACAGATTAGATTGTTGTTTAGTTGAGTGTTTGAATTCTGTACCCTACATTGAAGGATCAACTTCCTTAACAACAGTTGCCCAGGAGTAGTCAGCCCTGCATCAAAGGCTTGGAAACGTTCTATCTACATACCCATAGACATCTCAACTCATAGACATCTCAGCATTGGTGGAAGAGATATAAATACCTGTGTACAGTTCATTGTATGGATCAGACTACAGTATATCTGATTGTTTGGGTCAGATGAAAATGGACAAATATGTCCAAGAGTAGTTTGATGTTGTCCAAAGTTTCTCAATGTTCGATAAATATAAAAAGTAATTCTCTATGGGTTAATTGAATATTTTGTTGTTGTTTGTGTATTTTCTGGTCTCTGTAAAAGCACAACTCTGCACTCCATCATTTTATTTGATCACAATTTATTTGTACAGTGGCTTGTGAAAGTATTCACCCCCCTTTGGCATTTTTCCTATTTTGTTGCCTTACAACCTGGAATTAAAATAGATTTTTGGGGGGTTTGTATCATTTGATTTTACACGACATGCCTACCACTTTGAAGATGCAAAATATTTTTTTTTGTGATTCAAAGAAGAAATAAGACAAAAAAACAGAAAACTTGAGCGTGCATAACTATTCACCCCTCCAAAGTCAATACTTTGTAGAGCCACCTTTTGCAGCAATTACAGTTGCAAGTCTCTTGGGGTATGTCTCTATAATCTTGGCACAGCTAGCCACTGGGATTTTTGCCCATTCTTCAAGGCAAAACTGCTCCAGCTCCTTCAAGTTGGATGGGTTCCGCCGGTGTACAGCAATCTTTAAGTCATACCACAGATTCTCAATTGGATTGAGGTCTGGGCTTTGACTAGGCCGTTCCAAGACATTTAAAGTTTCCCCTTAAACCACTCAAGTGTATATATACTGAGATCATGTGACACTTAGATTGCACGCAGGTGGACTTTATTTAACTAATTATGTGACTTCTTAAGGTAATTTGTTTTACCAGATCTTATTCAGGGGCTTCATAGCAACGGGGGTGAATACATATGCACACACCACCTTTCCGCTATTTATTTTTTATAATTTTTTTAAAACACATTATTTTTTTCATTTCACTTCAGCAATTTGGACTATTTTGTGTATGTCCATTACATGAAATCCAAATAAAAATCTATTTAAATTACAGGTTGTAATGCAACAAATTATGAAAAACGCCAAGGGGGATGAATACTTTTGCAAGGCAATGTAGAACAAGCTTGTGTTGTCTTGTTTACAGTGCCAAAGTGTTTTTGTTTTTAAAATAAGTGACTATATTTTTAGCAGTAAAATTGAGTTTTTTTATGTAGGCTACACTATGATGTTTAGTGTTGATTAAATGGTTGAAAAAATGTGGGGTCTGGTGTTTCAATGTCCTGCGCTGCAGTCCTGTACTCTTCCTCAACACATTCCCCAACATCTGGCCTGTTCACCCCACTGACATCTAGAAGGCAGAGACAGTACAGGTGCATCAAAGCTGGGACAGAGAGACTGAGAAACAGCTTTTATCTCCAGGCCATCCGACTGTTAAATAGTCACCACTAGCCGGCCCCTGTCCTGAACCTTAGACACTGTCACTAACCGGCTATCACCCAGCACTCAACCCTGCACCTTAAAGACTGCTGCCCTATGTACAGTACATAGTCATTGAACACTTGTCACTTTAAGAATGTTTACATACTGAATTCTAGTCATGGCTCATCCTATATAACTGCTGCTGTACATACATTTTACATTTTAGTAATTTAGCAGACGCTCTTATCCAGAGCGACTTACAGTTAGTGAGTGCATACATTTTTCATTCTACATACCTTTTCAATTTTGCATACTGTCTATACACACCATTCTCATACATACAGTATATATGTATATTCTGGACTGGTCTGGAAGCTAAATTCCTGCAATTCTATCTACACTGAACAAAAATATAAACGCAACATGTAAAGTGTTGGTCCATACACACAGAAATGTTCCATACGCACAAAAACCTTATTTAAAATAAAGAAAATGTCACGTGCGTTGAAGGACGGGTCAGACCAAGGCGCAGCGTGAAATGCATACATGTTTATTATAAAGATAAACACACGAACAAAACAACGTAATGTGAAGTCCTCAGACTAAACACAATACAAGCCTCAACACGGAACAAGATCCCACAACTAATGAGTGCCAACAGGCTACTTAAGTATGATCCCCAATCAGAGACAACGAGCGACAGCTGCCTCTGATTGGGAATCACACCCAGCCAAACATAGAAACACACAACCTAGAATGAGAACATAGAAATAACAACATAGAACTCCACACCCTGACTCAACATACTAGAGTCCCATAAGTCAGGGCGTGACAGAAAAAGGTTACAAATGGGTTTACATCCCTGTTAGTGAGCATTTCTCCTGTGCCAAGATAACGCATCCACCTGACAGGTGTGGCATATCAAGAAGCTGATTAAACAGATCATTACACAGGTGCACCTTGTGCTGGGGACAATAAAAGGAGGCCACTTTAAAATGTGCAGTTTTGTCAAACAATACAATGCCACAGATGTTTTGAGGGCGTGTGCAATTGGCATGCTGACTGCAGTAATGTCCACCAAAGTTGTTGCCAGAGACTGAATGTTCATTTCTCTCCAACGTCGTTTTAGAGAATTTGGTAGTACATCCAACCAGTCTCACAACCACAGACCACATGTAATACTTATTTCCCTCATTAAAATGCAAATAAATTTATAAATAAATTTATAATAAATTTATTTTTGACATGCGTCTTTCTGGATTTTTTTGTTGTTATTCTGTCTCTCACTGTTCAAATAAACCTACCATTAAAATTATAGACTGATCATGTCTTTGTCAGTGGGCAAACGTACAAAATCAGCAGGGGATCAAATACTTTTTTCCCTCACTGTATATGAACTGTAACTCAGTCAAATCTTTGAAATTGTTCCATGTTAGTTTATATTTTTGTTCAGTATATTTTTCCATGAGGTTTTGTACTGTGTATTTAAATACTCTGTTCTCGACATAGCTCATTCTAATATTTCTACTATTGTACATTGCATTGTAGTTACACTGTTTATACACACCATCTATTCATTTGTACACTGTATTCTTGACATAGTTCATTCTAATATAGCTACTGCTGTACATGTCATTCTTAGTATATCTTGTGTAAATTCATCCGGTGTAGATACATATAGATTGCATTTGGATTACTGTTACAATGCTATTTGGGTTAATTGGATTCGTTCAGACATTTTAAGATGTTATTTTTTGTTGTTGAATATTTGTATACTTGTTTGACATTTTACTGCATTGTTAGGAGCTAGTAATATAAACATTTTGCTGCACCTGCTATAACATCTGCTAAACTGTGTATTCGACCAATAAACTTTGATTTTATTTTGAAAGCATGTCCCTCCAGCGAACATGCAATATTCTAACTACTTGCTTTATTCTGCATGCTGGACATTCTCACTTTGGACTGGACTAGAAAAATAAATTGAACAAGGAGCTACTGAAACATGGTTACGAGCTCAGAACACAACATACAAAACCACTTACGGCCAATCAAGGAAGCTCTTATTTAATGGACATCACTTACCTTAGATGTCTGTGTAGACACTAGCAATCACACACAGTTCTTCGGGTGTTCATGAGGGCATGGAGCTTGGACATGCATTTCCTATTATCGTTTTGCAATGATTGTTTCAATAATAGCTATATGTTCTTTAGTATTGTGCGCCTTCCAAATGGTGTTTTCACTTTTCATTCAGCTTAACCTTGTGTCTTTAAGGCTGGACACAGCCCTATGTAGGACTATTCATCTGCTATTTACTATTCACTCTTTTTCGGTTCTATTTTTCTCAAATCCTAAGGTCGTCATATAGAATGTGAAGATGTTGTGATTCCATCAACTCCCACTGATTATTTTCTGTCATTCAACACTTTGATTCAGAAAATCGATTGAACCTTGCTCTGTTCTACTTTCATTCACATCCCTGAGAACATTGCACAAAACACTATCAGGCAAATCAATACATCATGTAGATCAGGGTTTCCCAAACTTGGTTAATGAGACAATGAACTATAGGTGATCTCTGTTTCAGGAAGGTAGGCTGAAGGCCTCTCCTTAATGAAACTTAATGAGACCTGATTAGCCATCAGGCATTTGATGATATGACCTTTTCAATCTCAATCTAAACAGGCACAGGAGGAGGACAGGAGAGGAAACACCCTGAAGCCACACCAGGTACGTACACACACCTCTCCATCCACTCAAACGCCACTCTCCTATGCCTCTTTCCTTGTTCCTTTGTCTGTCAGCTCCCTAATTCCCCTCTTCTCTCACTGTTCTCACAGATAAAGCATATGAAGGAAAGGCTGCAAAGCGAGGAAGCCACTGACGACTGTTGAGATGCACTCGCAATGCCCAGACAACTTTCCTTTTGTCAAGAAGATGGCTATGCTTTGGTTCAGAGAGTTGATACAGTGTGTGACGGGGCTCCCCTACTGTTTATGTCCACATCAACATAGCGGGTTTATGACAAAATAAAACCTATTTTGGATATGATGAATATAATCATTTTATTAGAAAAATACAGCAGCCTGAGAAAAGCTACGAAACAGTCAGTCAACCCAGTTTCTATTAAACCAAGAAAAACAAAACCATGAATTAGTTCAGTCACCAACTCACTGCTAAAAACATTGAACAGGTTGAAAAGTCAATTAAAATTGCTATATAGTATAAAAAGTAATTTACCAAACATTTGTAAAAAGGTTGCTGTTCCAGTGTTACTGGTAAAGCAGGAAAGCCTGGAGTCTGTGAGGGAGGTAGAGGGCTGATGTTCTGTCTAGACGAGCCTGTCCCAAACTCCTCCGAATGCAGAACCGACACAGCTGAGAGAGAGTGCAGGGACCTGGAGAGAAAGAGTTGAGGCAGTAAGGAGGAGAGAAAAGGTAGAATAAAGAAGGGGAAGGTAGGAAGGACATATGTCAGACATGGAAAATATATTGATAGCATTCCATCAGTAGACATAGACTTTCATACTGTAACAGCCCACTGGGCACAGACGTAATTCAATGTCTATTCCACGTTGGTTCAACGCAATTTCATTGAAATGACGTGGGAACAACGTTGATTCAAACAGTGTGTTCTCAGTGGGAGGTTTGGGTAGACTCATGTATGCATGGATGTGCGGGTGAATGCATTAATAAACAAGTATTTTCACCTCTTTTCTGTATTGTAGTTCTGACTGTCCTGTCGCAAGCTGCCAGCTCCAGAGGAGTCTTCCCGTCTGAATTCCTACAACTCCCATCAGCCCCGTAGTCCATCAGAAGCTCCACCAACCTGACTCCTCCCCCTTGCACTGCCGCGTGTAATGGTGTGTCATGACCACACCCACCCTGCACATCAACACCTGATTCCAGCAGTCTCTCCACACAGTCGGTGGCCTGGGCCAGACAGGCAGCATACAAAGGGGTTCCCACACCAGGCAGATCCAGGTCTATGTGGAATCCATGGGACAGCAAAACCTCCAGACACTCCCTGTGACCTGAGGAGGGAAACAACGTTTACTGAGTACAATGTTTACCATTACACCATCATGCTGCATGAAAGGGTCATTCTGTGTCACAATGCACATAAAATACATCCACATACACACTTACCTCTCTTTGCAGCCTGGTGGACGGGTGATGCCAGGTGATGGGCAGGGTGTGTGGTGGGGCTGTACTGTAGAATCAGTCTGACACAGGCAACACTCCCATTGCTGCAGGCATTGAAGAGGGGTGTGGCTCCATCAGTCGATACCATATCCCCCTGCAGACACACAGGGACCAATCACATGAAGAGGCATTAGTTTATTGGTAAAACACAACGATAATTTATCATCTTTGATTCTTCCTAGTTTGAGTGTAATAGAAAATTGCATTCTTACATTGGCCCCGTTCTCCAGCAGGAACTTGGCGCAGGCGTAATGTCCTCCGAGACAGGCCTCGTGGAGGGGAGAGACCCTGTCCATTGTCAGCATATCCACAGGAAACCCCTGAGAGTGGAGAAGATGGAGGAGTTAATGTTGTGTATGTGATATGTGTGTTTTGTTTAGTGTGTGTGTGTATGTCATCTTTATACTGCAAGACATCGTTTTGACTGTGTACCTGTGAGACCAGAGTCCTCAGGATCAGGAGTCTACCCTGGTAGGCAGCATCGTGGAGAGGAGTCCTGTCTGACCACAAGTCTGTGCAAACACACACACACACATCATTCATACTGTAGCCTGTCCAAACACAGCACATCATTATCAGACAACCAACCTCCTGGACCTGAGACACTGAAGCCCAGTTCCTGCCCCAGTCTCACAGAAAACACTACCTGGGAGAACTAAACACCCACACAGACAGACTTCCTCTCTCTCTCTCCAAGCTGGTCATACTAACTGGCTCGTCTCATCAATAGAAATAAATGAATATGCATCAGACAAACCTGCTGGAACAGCCAGCAGAGTTCATGTGCAAATGAGAGGCACTTGCCTATTGTGAGGGAAATGCATTGTCTCACATAATGAAGTATTCAGAAACTAGACTTTGGTTCCCTTATTTTCACTAAGACAATGATATACAGTATATTTATTCAGGACACACATCAGTGGGCTACCCACTGGACACAGACGTCAGTTCAACGTTTAGATTTGATTTACAATTGGTTGGGTTTGTGAACAAAAAAATGTCACCATGTCATTGGATGTAGGTTCAAAGTTGGGTGAAAAGGGGACGAAATTCCCTAACATGGTTCACTTTTTCCCCCAAATCCAATCAGTTTTCCGAGTTGATTCAACATCATCACATTGAATTTTTTGGGTGAAATTACATGGAAACAACATTGATTCAACCATTTCCCCCCCCCCCCCAGTGAGTACAGTATTCTTCTTCTAGCAACACACCAAGATATCTTGACCTAACTGCTCTCTCTTTCCATTTTCTCTATCTCATCGCCTCAAACAACATCCCAAAATATCTGAAACAACTCTGGTTCTTAACTCTTAGGAAAACATACTGTATAATGTGTTTATTCGAGACACCAAACATTCTCTGTTGAACAACACCAATACCACAGACAAATTGTAGCTTTCTTGCTCTCACCTAACACTAATTTACTCAACAGAATTGACTTTGACAAAGCAGCAGCAGAGAGAAATCCATACCAGCCATGAGCGAGTTGCATGCCAGTCCCCCATAGATGTGGAAGGGTCCTCTCCAAGGCCGACTGCACAGGGCAATCTCCGTCTGCACACCAGCCATGGTTAAAAAACAGCAGCCTCCTCCACAGTGAGTGAACCAGCTATGAGTGGGATGCACAAACCTGTCTGGCCTTCCCAGACCTCTTATCAGGTCCCAAGCTACCTCCTCCCCCGACCCTGAGGAGAGGAGTAACACCCCCCTTTCTGTGGAATGGGGGAACTGTTGCATGACAATAGAGGTAAGCATAGGACCGATAGACTGATGGACACGAACACACACAAAAGGAACATCTGTGTATTCTCATATCTAGGTGATAAGGTATGGTGTTTCAACATGCGCAGAGGACAACCTTATGGCGTAAGAACAAATAAGTGGATAAGGTGCTATTGAATTCAATAAATCAATTATGTTTAGGGCTTTCTAAAAGCAAGTAGAAGGGGTCAACAATCTGCACGTCTGCGTCATTCAAGTCCTGTTCAATGTTTTCTACATGGAGAACATCAGTTCAAAACGTAGTGCCTGTAGTACATTGACATTGGAATGTGAATAGTTGGGTATTTTGAAAGTTCAACTTTTCCATAGCGCAAAAAAACATGTTTTTGAATAAGGCCTACATACAGTGGGGGGAAAAAAGTATTTGTCAGCCACCAATTGTGCAAGTTCTCCCACTTAAAAAGATGAGAGAGGCCTGTAATTTTCATCATAGGTACACGTCAACTATGCCAGACAAATTGAGAAATGTTTTTCCAGAAAATCACATTGTAGGATTTTTAATGAATTTATTTGCAAATTATGGTGGAAAATAAGTATTTGGTCACCTACAAACAAGCAAGATTTCTGGCTCTCACAGACCTGTAACTTCTTCTTTAAGAGGCTCTGTCCTCTACTCGTTACTTTAGGGCCTCGTGAATACCCTGAACATGTTTCTGTAGTGACAACAATGATGCCCTTTACCCAGTCTACAGCCCTAACGATGTGTGAATGGTGCACTACCCTCGTTCTTGAAAAGAAAGGAATACCATCCCAATCTCCACTTTCACAGCTATGTGTTTTGTCTGGCAAGCTGTTTACAGTGAAAACTGTGATGTTTTTGTTCCAGGACATACAAGAAGAAGTTTGAGGCCCTAGCTATTGAAAATACATTGTCAGAAAAAAGGGTGACATGTCACTAATGTAGAAAAGGGACAAAATAGGTCATTCTGAAACAGACTTTAGTTTCCATCATAGGTAAAGGTTCAGTAATCAGTGCATCATTAGGCTACACAGCCTTAAGCATGAGCTCACAAACATCTCGAAAGGAGAGGAACCACCCAACAAAGACATTGGCAAAGCATGATATGGGTAAAAAAAAGTTAAACAGCAGAGAACTACTAAAACTAAAATATAAAATTCAAGCATAAAAGTACAAGGAAGGGAACTTGGTGAGTGGGTGAGGTTAGAATACAAAACTATGCTATTACAGAGTCCCCTTAAAGATCATACTGCTGTCTATGGCAACCAGTAGCATTCATTGTGCCATTTTTGTAATAACGGTATACCCCCAACCTCCTTACTGATAAAAATAGTCATCTGTGAACCTATATCCCTTCTTTATTCAGTGCAAAGCATGGATAAAGAAATTAAAATACAAAAACTAGGAGTGGAATATTAATACAGGAGTGATTCAGTTTTGGGGTTCATTAAGGGGTTACAAAGAATAAAACATATCTATAACCATCTTTACCTGAGCAAGAACACTCATCCTTTTGTAAACATCAGGGTTTCCCTTAAAACATTATGCAATGAGTGATCAATATCCACAGGTCATTAGGTAGTGGGGTCAGAGGTCAAGTTAGATTTTTTTAAAGTCAGTATTTTAAGCAGTTATATTACGGTTGAGGATAAGGAGTTGTGTTTTATCATCATAGCTTGGTCTTGTGACCACCTGGCTCCTCCTTTGTCAACATGGCACTTTTAGAGTGAGTTCCTTTCCTATCGCCCAAGCCCTGCCTCCACAGCCCCTGGGGGCCCGTGGCGTCCATGGCAATGTCTATGAGGCAGTCTGGGAGGAGCCAGCGGAGAAGGAGCAGGAAGAGGAAGTCGAAGACAGCAAAGAGGGCAAAGATGGAGCCTGCCACAGGGCCACAGTGGGTTCTCAGTCTGAGCAGCCGTCTGTCCAGAGGAAGAACCTCCTCCCCAGCCACACGGTCATACACCTGACAGAACAGAGAGCAGAGACACACACACAGTGTTTGTATCAATGAATTAGACCGCATCAATATCTCAGTCTGTGTCAATTAAAGGTATTATGACAGTGTATCACAGTCTAGATTTAAGAAACATACAAAATATATGTATGTATGTATGTATGTATGTATGTATGAGCCTACCTTCTCTGTCCTCTCTGCGACATTCCTCCAGGTGTAGAGGGTGCGGACGTGGGCGTGGATTGAGGCAGGGGAGGCGACGCTGCCAGATCGTTGCCTAGCGATGACACTGTCCAGGCCAGCACAAAGAGAACGCACGGTGGGCTCACACAGGGTGATCAGATCCTCAGGCAGAACCTCAGGGATCCCTCCAACACGCGTACTTACCACCTACACACACGTCCATTAACCACACACACACACACTAAAATCTGCCAATACTAAGAATAACAAGCAGGCTAACATCCAACCAGCAACACGCAGGTACCAACCAGGGTTTCTGTTAGGAAAATGTGGCGGCGGACATTTGACTGGCCACATTTTAATTTACTGGGCATTCGACAAAATTCCCCGACCCACATGCATTGGGTGCGTAACCCGATTAGGGTGTCCACCCACAGTGCTCAGAATGATAGAAATCACATTTAGAATATGGTAATTCATATTAACAGAACATGCAAGTCGAGGATGCAACGATAAGCGGTCCTTCTTACCCGAATTCTGATGTGCCCTTTGAACATGTTAGAATAACTGTCCACATGTACTTTTCCTCAGCCAACAAGACCAGTAACGAACAGCAAAATCACTAGCCTATGTCAATCTACTATAGTAGAAACGTTAAGGCTTCCTATTCTATTGGTCAGCTTGTCGAGAAAGAAATAGCTCATTCCAATCCGACTCTGGGACAGTTGTGGGAAGATAGATCCCAAATCCATCCAACCAGTAGGCCTAGGCTACATAAAAACAACGTTAAAAAGCAATGAGGCTGACGCAACAGATGAGAACGTTTAGATTAAAATGTTGATAAACTATTATTTCTTGACATTATAAACACAGCTATGTGCACAAGGCAGTAGACTAGGTGTGAATGTTGGTTCTGTAATGCAATTAGTGGCAAAACAGCGTTGTCAAAAGCGCACCGCACATGAGAGTGGTTTCATGTGACAGATGAAAATATCCATTAGAAATTTAGAAAAAGGGGAGATCTAATACGCAACCTACCAGCATGGGTTGCTAATATGACTAGGATTGTGCCTTTGGTTACCGGACAACGAAAGAAAGTTGATATAAAATAACTGCCTCCACAGATATGTTCTGATTTTGGCTAGGCTACTTTTAAGCAAGGTAAGACATGCCTCGTAATATGTAGTAAAATGTTCAGGTTTCAAACAATTAAATATATGTTTTCAAAATGGATACTGCCTCCAGCTCATTGCAAAGTGGTGTGTGACGCGCTTATGAAGCCTGCCTTCAGTTGCCTATGCATTTGCTGTTTGAGATGTTTTAGTCTGACAGATTTTCTGCTCAAAGACTCTGTATCTGTATGCTGTATGCGTGATAAATAAGATACAGTGCCTTGCAAAAAGTATTCACCCCCCTTGGCGTTTTTCCTATTTTGTTGCATTACAACCTGTAATTTAAATTGATTTTTATTTGGATTTCATGTAATGGACATACACAAAATAGTCCAAATTGGTGAAGTGAAATGAAAAAAATAACCTGTTTCAAAAAATTCGAACAAATAAAATACACCCCCTTTGCTATGAAGCCCCTAAATAAGATCTGGTGCAACCAATTACCTTAAGAAGTCACATAATTTGTTAAATAAAGTCCACCTGTGTGCAATCTAAGTGTCACATGATCTGTCACATGATCTCAGTATTCAGTTGAAGGTCGGAAGTTTACATACACCTTAGCCAAATAAATTAAACAGTTTTTCACAATTCCTGACCTTTAATCCTAGTAAAAATTCCCTGTCTTAGGTCAGTTAGGATCACCCCTTTATTTTAAGAATGTGAAATGTCAGAATAATAGTAGAGAAAATGATTTATTTCAGCTTTTAAATTATTTCATCACATTCCCAGTGGGTCAGAAGTTTACATACACTCAATTAGTATTTGGTAGCATTGCCTTTAAATTGTTTAACTTGGGTCAAACGTTTCAGGTAGCCTTCCACAAGCTTCCAACAATAAGTTGGGTGAATTTGGCCCATTCCTCCTGACAGAGCTGGTGTAACTGAGTCAGGTTTGTAGGCCTCCTTGCTCGCACACACTTTTTCAGTTCTGCCCACACATTTTCTATAGGATTGAGGTCAGGGCTTTGTGATGGCCACTCCAATACCTTGACTTTGTTGTCCTTAAGCCATTTTGGCACAACTTTGGAAGTATGCTTGGTGTCATCATCCATTTGGAAGACCCATTTGCGACCAAGCTTTAACTTCCTGACTGACGTCTTGAGATGTTGCTTCAATATATCCACATAATTTTCCTTCCTCACAATGCCATCTATTTTGTGAAGTGCACCAGTCCCTCCTGCAGCAAAGCACCCCCACAGCATGATGCTGCCACCCCCGCGCTTCACGGTTGGGATGGTGTTCTTCGGCTTGCAAGCGGCCCCCTTTTTCCTCCAAACATAACGATGGTCATTATGGCCAAACAGTTCTATTTTTGTTTCATCAGACCAGAGGACATTTCTCCAAAAAGTACGATCTTTGTCCCCATGTGCAGTTGCAAACCGTAGTCTGGCTTTTTTTATGGCGGTTTTGGAGCAGTGACTTCTTCCTTGCTGAGCAGCCTTTCAGGTTATGTTGATATAGGACTCGTTTTACTGTGGATATAGATACTTTTGTACCGGTTTCCTCCAGCATCTCCACAAGATCCTTTGCTGTTGTTCTGGGATTGATTTGCACTTTTCTCACCAAAGTACGTTCATCTCTAGGAGACAGAACGAGTCTCCTTCCTGAGCGGTATGACGGCTGCGTGGTCCCATGGTGTTTATACTTGCGTACTATTGTTTGTACAGATGAGCGTGGTACCTTCAGGCATTTGGAAATTGCTCCCAAGGAGGAACCAGACTTGTGGAGGTCTACAATTTGTTTTCTGAGGTCTTGGCTGATTTCTTTTGATTTTCCCATGATGTCAAGCAAAGTGGCACTGAGTTTGAAGGTAGGCCTTGAAATACATCCACAGGTACACCTCCAATTGACTCAAATGATGTAAATTATTCTATCAGAAGCTTCTAAAGCCATGACATCATTTTCTGGAATTTTCCAAGCTGTTTAAAGGCACAGTCAACTTAGTGTATGTAAACTTCTGACCCACTGGAATTGTGATACAGTGAATTTTAAGTGAAATAATCTGTCGGTAAACAATTGTTGGAAAAACCGACTTCAACTGTATATACACCTGTTCTGAAAGGCCCCAGAGTCTGCAACACCACTAAGCAACGGGCACCACCAAGCAAGCGGCACCATGAAGACCAAGGAGCTCTCCAAACAGGTCAGGGACAAAGTTGTGGAGAAGTACAGATCAGGGTTGGGTTGTAAAAAAATATCAGAAACTTTGAACATCCCACAGAGCATCATTAAATCCATATCAAAAAATGGAAAGAATATGGCACCACAACAAACCTGCCAAGAGAGGGCCGCCCACCAAAACACACAGACCAGGCAAGGAGGGCATTAATCAGAGGCAACAAAGAGACCAAAGATAACCCTGAAGGAGCTGCAAAGCTCCACAGCGGAGATTGGAGTATCTGTCCATAGAACCACTTTAAGCCGTACACTCCACAGAGCTGGGCTTTACGGAAGAGTGGCCAGAAAAAAGCCATTGCTTAAAGAAAAAAATAAGCAAACAGGCATGTGGGAGACTCCCCAAACATATGGAAGAAGGTACTCTGGTCAGGTGAGACTAAAATTGAGCTTTTTGGCCATCAAGGAAAACGCTATGTCTGGCGCAAACCCAACACCTCTCATCACCACGAGAACACCATCCCCACAGTGAAGCATGGTGTTGGCAGCATCATGCTGTGGGGATGTTTTTCATCGGCAGGGACTGGGAAACTGGTCAGAATTGAAGGAATGATGGATGGTGCTAGATACAGGGAAATTCTTGAGGGAAACCTGTTTCAGTCTTCCAGAGATTTTAGACCTTCCAGCAGGACAATGACCCTAAGCATACTGCTAAAGCAACACTTGAGTGGTTTAAGGGGAAACATTTAAATGTCTTGGAATGGCATTGTCAAAGCCCAGACCTCAATCCAATTGAGAATCTGTGGTATGACTTAAAGATTGTTGTACACCAGCCGAACCCATCCAACTTGAAGGAGCTGGAGCAGTTTTGCCTTGAAGAATTGGCAAAAATCCCAGTGGCTACATGTGCCAAGCTTATAGAGACACACCCCAAGTGACTTGCAGCTGTAATTGTTGCAAAAGGTGGCTCTACAAAGTATTGACTTTGGGGGGTTAATAGTTATGCACGCTCAAGTTCAGTTTTTTGTCTTATTTCTTCTTTGTTTCACAAGAAAAAATATTTTGCATCTTCAAAGTGGTAGGCATGTTGTGTAAATCAAATTATACAAACCCCCCAAACATCCATTTTAATTCCAGGTTGTAAGGCAACAAAATAGGAAAAATGCCAAGGGGGGGGGTGAATACCAATTTAAGTCCACTAAATTATGCAAATTAACCTATAGACCTATAAGCAGGACCAGCCAAATATATTTACATCAACCGGTATTTAAATCAATAAATAGGCTAAATATTATTATTTCTCAATGGGATTTGTTCTTCTTCTGCCAGACAATTGGCCTGCAGCAATTGTATTTATTGGCTTTTCTAAACATTTTTTGTTCGGCCAGAAAGACAGCTATTAACGGCTAACGGAAACCCTGGTACAACCACCTTCTAGTTTGTGTCCAGGTATGGGCAACAGAGGATGAATATGGATTAATATTCAGTAGGCAAACAGACCTGTAGTCCACAGCTGGCCCCCTCCACTATAGCCATGCAGAAGGCCTCGGTCAGGGAGGTGTTGAGGAAGATATGTCCCTGGACCAAGACCCCCCGCACATCCTTATGCTCAAGGGCCCCCAGGAGACGCACCCTGGGGAGAGAGAGAAGCAACTCAGACACATACCTACACCCACAAACATACATCCACAAACATACATCCACATCACTGTTTAATTCTACCTATCGTGTAGCTGGTATTTCTCTCTCACTTCTTCCAACACGATTCTCTTTGGTCCCTCTCCCCCAATCAGGAAATGTAGATCTGGATGTTTGAGGCATAGCTCTGGGATGATCCCTCCCAGAAGATCTATTCCTAAAAAAGTGTAAAAGCAGTGATTGAGACATTCCTACAATCATATCTACAGGCTTTATGTATTGATAACCGACAAGCGCACATAGTTAATATTTTTTGCTATGTGGGGGTCCACATTTATCATTATATAGTCTCACCCCTACCTACCTTTGCGGTAGACGAGGCGGCTGACCACAACAATGGTGATCCTGTCGTCATGGCGCTGGGAAGGGTCGGGGGTGAAGTCTGTGGGGTCGACGGCGTTGGGAATAACAGAAACGATCTCGGGGTCGAGCGCTGCCCTGAGCACTGTGTTCTCCTTACTGGTGTACGATACGCACACAATGTGATTGGTGTCGCACAGAGACACCGTCAGCAGCTTATTGGTCAGCACCGAGCTAACATCAGCAAAACCAAAGAGGGAGTGGTCTGTAAACACCTGTAAACAGACAACGTTTAGTTATTTATACTAGCTGGGCACATAAAACCTATTTTAGGAATTTGATATGCTACCATCTTGCTCTAGGATGCGTCTGCAATGGCACCCTATTCTCTATAGTGTACCACTCCGTTAGACTGCTACCCACCGTGTTGAGGCCCATGGTCTTGGCGTGGAACAGTGCATCGTGGCCCATGGCGGAGAAGGAGCTGTGGGCGTGCACCACGGTGATGCGCTCCCTGACAAACACGCAGCGCAGCAGCGGCAGGCTGTGGAAGCAGGTGGTAGCTGTGGACTGGTTGTACATCACCTGCAGGGGCAGATAGTACACCTTGAGCCCGTTGGTCAGGTAACGGACCCCCTTCCTGCAGCCGTAGGCGTGGGTGGCGATCACCACCTTGTGACCCTTCTCTATCAGACACTGGGACAGCTGGTAGATGTGGCTCTCCACCCCTCCCATGTTGGGGTAAAAGAAGTCTGACACCATGCATATGTTGTGCTTCTTGGCAGGGGCCTGGGGAGCCACTGTGAGCCCGTCAGGGTGTCTGTTGGCTGGGGGAGCATGGACAGCTGCCCCCCTCCTTCGCTGGCCCATGGTGGTGGAGTTCTATGGTGGTGTGCGTCACTCATACAGGCGTCTCAAATGCAGAGCAACCATGCACCTGAGTAAACAATGAAATACACATTACAATGGCTAGCTACAACCACACAATCTGCTCAGATTAACCTACGACTTCATCGAACTACATAAATCACTTTGGTAATGAAGCATATGGAAAGGTTATCTATGAATATGCAGTTGCAAGTTAGCTACCTAGTCGAGGAGTCATCTTTGTAGTGGCTTGGACAACGATTCCTAAAGATAACCGATTCATTTGTGGCTTGGAGGTAGCATGCTAACGTAGCTAGCTATCCAGTTTAGCTGGCTAGCAAGTTAGAAATGACGCTAGGTAAGCTAGCTAGTGTGTTTGCTGTGATGCTTCCGAGAACATTTAGATGATTGGGACTTGAGAGACTACGACCTTACCTTCAAAACAAAGTAAAATTGTCTTTTGTTTTATATAAATCTACAATTTGTCTCAGTCCATCTTCATTCAACCAATTTCCATCAAACAAAACAACCCCGTCACTTCCTGGTCCGCTTTAGGTCTTCTTCTTCTAGAATCTGGTGTTATTGCTGCCACCTGCTGTACTAGTCAGGAACAGCCTCACTGCCTCTTAATGTCTTTGGTTCAACAAGGCGCAACATCGCGAGACTTCCGGGAACGCTTGCGGAGCAGACCAAACCGACCAGGCCGGGGTTTGGGGCTTGAGAAGTCAATTAGAGAAGTGAACAATTATTCTTTAGATGTTAATTTTCTTGAAATCTAAAGGCACAACCTAGATTCGAGCCAATGTCTTAAGTAGTTGAACATGTTATTACTCCAACCTCGTAAAAGATACAAACTGACACATTAAAATGTTCGTCAAAAACAACTTTATATCGAAGGAGTGCCTTTCATTTGACGGCCTACACATGCGTAGTTCAGCGCGAGACCCTTGGACCCGAAGACGTGTCATCCGCATGACATCGACATCGCCTACAAGCGTGATATGGGATTTATATTGGAGAAGCAGTTTCTGCCTTATCTTCATACTGTACTGTCTTTGGTATCACGGTGACATCCAAATGGTTACTACCAATATAACAAGTTATTTCTCGTGTAGGCTGCTATCCTCTCGAACTAAAATCAAGTGGGATGGAAGAAATTGGACATGGTGACCAAATCCAGATGGTGACCAATAGATAAGTTATTTCTGCCTCGCCCATCGAAATAAACATAACTTTTACAAGTTTTAACTAGCACCATGCTGCTGTTGTTGCCAGCAAAAACTACCTGGGAAGGCTTTAACAGGATGACTGAATGATGTCACCATTGCCCTTGATTCTAAGCAATGTTGGGCTGCTATTTTCATTGACTTGGCCAAAGCTTTTGATACAGTAGACCATTCCATTCTTGTGGGCCGGCTAAGGAGTATTGTTGTCTCGGAGGGGTCTTTGGCCTGGTTTGCTAACTACCTCTCTCAAAGAGTGCATTGTATAAAGTCAGAACATCTGCTGTCTCAGCCACTGCCTGTCACCTAGGGAGTACCCCAAGACTCGATCTTAGGCCCCGCACTCTTCTCAATTTACATCAACAACATAGCTCAGGCAGTAGGAAGCTCTCTCATCCATTTATATGCAGATGACACAGTCTTATACTCAGCTGACCGCTCCCCGGATTTTGTGTTAAACGCTCTACAACAAAGCTTTCTTAGTGTCCAACAAGCTTTCTCTGCCCTTAACCTTGTTCTGAACACTTCGAAAACAAAGGTCATGTGGTTTGGTAAGAAGAATGCCCCTCTCCCCACCGGTGTGATTACTACCTCTGAGGGTTTAGAGCTTGAGGTAGTCACCTCATACCAGTACTTGGGAGTATGGCTAGACTGTACACTGTCCATATCTCAGCACATATCAAAGCTGCAGGCTAAGATTATATCTAGACTTGGTTTCCTCTATCGTAATCGCTCCTCTTTCACCCCAGGTGCCAAACTAACCCTGATTCAGATGACCATTCTACCCATGATAGATTACGGAGACTTAATTTATAGATCGGCAGGTAAGGGTGCTCTCAAGCGGCTAGATGTTCTTTACCATACGGCCATCAGATTTGCCACCAATGCTCCTTATAGGACACATCACTGCACTCTATACTCATCTGTAAACTGGTAATCTCTGCATACCCGTCGCAAGACCTTCTGGTTGATGCTTATTTATAAAACCCTCTTAGGCCTCACTTCCCCCTATCTGAGATACCTACTGCAGCCCTCATCCTCCACATACAACACCTGTTCTGCCAATCACATTCTGTTAAAGGTCCCCAAAGCACACACATCCCTGGGTGGCTCCTCTTTTCAGTTCGCTGCAGCTAGTGACTGGAACGACCTGCAAAAAACACTCAAACTGGACAGTTTTATCTCCATCTCTTCAATCAAAGACTCAATCATGGACACTCTTACTGACAGTTGTGGCTGCTTCACATGATACATTGTTGTCTCTACCTTCTTGCCCTTTGTGCTGTTGTCTGTGCCCAATAATGTTTCTACCATGTTTTGTGCTGCTACCATGTTGTGCTGCTGCCATGTTGTGTTGCTACCATGTTGTTGTCATGTGGTGTTGCTACCATGCTGTGTTGTCATGTGTTGCTGCCATGCTATGATGTTGTCTTAGGTCTCTCTTAATTTAGTGTTGTGGTGTCTCTCTTGTCGTGATGTGTGTTTTGTCCTATATTTTTATTTTTAATCCCAGCCCCCGTCCCCGCAGGAGGCCTTTTGCCTTTTGGTAGGCCTTCATTGTAAATAAGAATTTGTTCTTCACTGACTTGCCTAGTTAAATAAAGGTTTAAAAAAATAAATTAAAAAAAAAGTCCTTAAAACTAGTTTTTCAACCACTCCACAAATTTCTTGTTAACAAATAGTTTAGGCCATCTACTTTGTGCATGACACAAGTCATTTTTCCAACAATTGTTTACAGACAGATTATTTAACTTATAATTCACTGTATCACCATTCCAGTGGGTCAGAAGTTTACATACACTAAGTTGACTGTGCCTTTAAACAGCTTGGAAAATTCCAGAAAATGATGTCATGGCTTTAGAAGCTTCTGACAGGCTAATTGACATCATTTGAGTCAATTGGAGGTGTACCTGTGGATGTATTTCAAGGCCTACCTTCAAACTCAGTGCCTCTTTGCTTGACATCATGGGAAAATCAAAATATATCAGCCAAGACCTCAGTGTCACGATCGTCAGGGAGAGAAGTAGACCAATGCGCAGCGTGTTGAACGAACATGTTTAGACTTTATTTAATAAAGCACGAACAAAACAATAAACGACTCGTAACGTCCAACGGTAACAAATACCGACGCGGAACAAAAACCCACAAACACAAAGGGAAAACATACAGTTTAAATATGGCTCCCAATCAGAGACAACCAGCCAACAGCTGACACTCGTTGCCTCTGATTGGGAGTCACTCAGGCAAAACATAGAAATAGACGAACTAGAACCCCCAACATAGAAACACACCACATAGAACAAACACACCCTGGCTCAACAACTAGAGTCCCATAGCCAGGGTGTGACAGTACCCCCCCCCTAAAGGCGCGGACTGCGACCGCGCCTCAAAAAGAGCAAAACAGGGGAGGGCTGGGTGGGCATAACTCCTCGGCGGCGGTTCTGGCTCCGGGCTTGACCCCCACTCCTTCTCTAACCCCCCAAAGTACCCCTGGTCCGGTCTGGCCCTGCTGACCAGAGCTGAACTGAACACTGGTGGAGCGGATTGCTCTAGCTCCGGCGTGACGCAGCACCTGACCGGTGCCGGACCCGCCACCGGTGGAACAGGCACGGGCCGTGCCGGACTGACGACGCACACCACTGGCTTGGTGTGGGGAGCAGGAGCGGGCCGAGCCGTGCTGACGAAACGCACCACTGACTTGGTGCGGGGAGCAGGAGTGGGCCGAACCGGGCTGACGAAGCACACCACTGACTTGGTGCGGGGAGCAGGAACGGGCCGTGCCGGGCTGACGACGCGCACCACAGACTTGGTGCGGAGAGCAGGAACGGGCCGGACAGGGCTGACGAAACGCACCACAGACTTGGTGCGGGGAGCAGGAATGGGCCGGACTGGGCTGGCGATGCGCACCACAGACTTGGTGCGGAGAGCAGGAACGGGCCGGACAGGGCTGACGAAACGCACCACAGACTTGGTGCGGGGAGCAGGAATGGGCCGGGCCGAGCTGGCGATGCGCACCGTAGACTTGGTGCGAGTGGCAGGAACAGGCCAGACCGTACTGGGAACACACACCACTGGCCCTACGTGGGGATCAGGAACAGGCCGGACCGGACTGGCAACACACGCCAGTACCTCTCGCCGTGCCTCTACATCTTCCACCCCCTCTTCGACCAGTGGCCCCCGTAACCTGGCGGCCTCCTCTGCCAATCCGCTGGGCCGCTCTGCCGCGGTCTCCTGCTGGCCCGTCGTCCACGGCGTTAGCCCCCCCCTAAAAAATTTCTGGGGGTCTCTCTTCCCCGTGGGCCAGGCCTCTATATTTCTCGCCCAACTCTCGCTCTCCTGCTTCCAACTCCAGCCATTCTGCTCCTCCTTTGGCTTGACCCAGTCGAGGCTCCTCCTCCACTGTTCCCAAGTCCACCCTCTCTGCTCCTCACTAGGCTTGACCCAGTCGAGGTTGCCACGGAGATCTGCTAGCGATCTCCCTGGTGATGGCTCCTGGACACGCTGCTTGGTCCAGTCTTGGTGGGTTTTTCTGTCACGATCGTCAGGGAGAGAAGTAGACCAATGCGCAGCGTGTTGAACGAACATGTTTAGACTTTATTTAATAAAGCACGAACAAAACAATAAACGACTTGTAACGTCCAACGGTAACAAATACCGACACGGAACAAAAACCCACAAACACAAAGGGAAAACATACAGTTTAAATATGGCTCCCAATCAGAGACAACCAGCCAACAGCTGACACTCGTTGCCTCTGATTGGGAGTCACTCAGGCAAAACATAGAAATAGACGAACTAGAACCCCCAACATAGAAACACACCACATAGAACAAACACACCCTGGCTCAACAACTAGAGTCCCATAGCC